GCAGGAATTCTACTTACGTGAAAGAGAAATGATGGGCAGCCGTTTGGTGTCAATAGGGTTCTGATCTTCTTTGTTTTATACCCTAAGGACCTCCTCCTGCATATCGTCCAGTCCTCCCATTTCTTTACGTTCTGCCTCCTAAGCCCTCAGAGGTGAGGTGGTTGGCAACCAGACACGGGGCCTTTTTAGTGGTGGCTCCTTGCTTGTGGAATGCCCTCCCCCATGAGGCTCCCTTGGCGTCTCTACCGCTCCCTTGGGCACCAGGCTGAAACGTTTCTGTTCACCCAGGCTTGGCATCAAGGGGTTGGTTTTTAAAAACATTGTTCCAGTCTGGCACGTTTTCTTTTCAGCTGTCGGTGGTCTGTCCGTGTGGTCTGCGTTTTTGTGCCAGGCTGGGTTTATTGAATGCTGGGATTTTAGTATCTTTCAGTGTTTTGCCTCGAATGTTTTGTATTCTGTAAGTTGCCTCGGGCAGGTCCCCTGACAGGCGGCATAAAATCTTCATCAATAAAAATTAAGAGTGGGAACACCATCGGTAAGCTGGATGCCCATCCTTAACCTGCAGAGCAGAGTGATCTTGCAAGATCTGCATCTTGGGAACCAGTTTGGTGTCGTGGTTTAGGAGTGGCGGACTCTAATCTGGGAGAACCGGGTTTGATTCCCCACTCCTTCACATGCAGCCAGCTGGCTGACCGTGGGTCAGTCACAAGTTCTCTCAGCGCTGTTCTCTCAGGAGCAGTCTCTCTCAGAGCTCTCTCCCCCCCCACCTACCTCACAGGGTGTCTGTTGTGAGGAGGGGAAGGGAAAGGAGATGGTGAGCCGCTCTGAGACACCTTTGAGTAGTGAAGGGTAGAGTGTAATTCCATCCTCCTCCTCCTGCTTCAGCTGCCTTGAGCCCTGACCTTGGTGGCACAGTCTAGCCCCCATCTCAGAAACTAAGCTGGGTTGGCCCTGGTTCATATTTGGATGGGAAACCACCAAGGAAGCCCAGGGCTGCAACACAGAGACGGGCAATGGGAAGCCACCTCTGATAAGTCTCTCGCCTTGAAAACCCCACAAGGGTTCACTGTAAATCAGATGTGACTTGACCGCAAAAAGAAGCTGCCTTGACACCCAAACCTCACGTAGTGTTTTTGTGGGCTGACGCTGGGGTGCTCCTGCTGGAGGCGAGGTTGTTGTGTTTGTACCGCTTTGGAGAAGAAGACGAAGAAGAAGAAGAGATCGGGTAGTGAAGGGCCATGGGGTATACACCCAAAGGAGTCTCAGAGCGGCTTACAAACTCCTTTCCCTTCCCCTCCCCACAACAGACCCCCTGTGAGGTAGAAGAAGAAGAAGAGATTGGATTTATCCCCCACCCTTCACTACCCAAAGGAGTCTCAGAGCGGTTAACAACCTCCTTTCCCTTCCCCTCCCCACAACAGACCCCCTGTGAGGTAGAAGAAGAAGAAGAGATTGGATTTATCCCCCACCCTTCACTACCCAAAGGAGTCTCAGAGCGGTTAACAACCTCCTTTCCCTTCCCCTCCCCACAACAGACCCCCTGTGAGGTAGAAGAAGAAGAAGAGATTGGATTTATCCCCCACCCTTCACTACCCAAAGGAGTCTCAGAGCGGTTAACAACCTCCTTTCCCTTCCCCTCCCCACAACAGACCCCCTGTGAGGTAGAAGAAGAAGAAGAGATTGGATTCATACCCCATGGCCCTTCACTCCCCAAAGGAGTCTCAGAGCGGCTTACAAACTCCTTCCCCTCCCCACAACAGACACCCTGTGAGGTAAAAGAAGACGAAGAAGAAGAGATGGGATTCATATACCCCGCCCTACACTACCCAAAGGTGTCTCAGAGCGGTTAACAACCTCCTTTCCCTTCCCCTCCCCACAACAGACACCCCCTGTGAGGCAGGTAGGGCTGAGAGAGCTCTTTCGAGGACTGCCCATGAGAGAACAGCTCTGGGAGAACTTGTGACTGACCCAAGGTCACCCCAGCAGCTGCATGTGGAGGAGTGGGGAGTCAAACCCGGTTCCCCCAGATTAGAGTCTGCGCTCCTGACCACGACACCAAACTGGTTCTAAGAACTGGACATTTCTTTTCCATTGAAATTTCTCTCGTCTTCTGTTTTCCAAGTACAAGTTGCTCATAAAAGTTGCTGCCAGACTGTGGATTCTTCGCAGTTTGTCATTTGGGGAGATCCCATATCTAGGGAAGGGTGGCCCCATCTTACGCATGGGCGTGTGTAATATATAAATAAACTCACGACGGCGTCATTCATCTCTTTCTCCTTTCCCCCTCTAGCTCAGCACCTTCTGGATTTTGATGAGCGGATGCTGGTTCTGTTCTCTCTATCTTCTTTATACTCTGAAAGAGGATTTGAAACAGCTCTGGTACGATTCCACGCAATACTTCCTGGGTAAGGGAATGAGCAGAGATGTCTGTGTTCTGTCAAAACAGCGTATGGAACGGGAGACTGGCGTTTTGGGCTTGATGGCTGTCTTCATTCCTAAAACACAAAGTCTGAAATTGATGACATTTATTCCCCCTCAGAGTCACCAGTTCTCAGTATTAGGAGGAGAAAAGCATTTTCTCGACTGATGTGCTGATAGTCTGGCTTTTCTCAGCGACTCGGTGTGCGCAGTGGGGTGTCGCATGCGGGAGTCATCGTCACTCAGTGTTGCCGGAGTGGATGTAAAAGGGGAGTGGATATGAAAGTATGACTGTATCCCAGAGGTCCCCGGAATGGTGCAGACTCTAATCTGGGAGAACTGAGTTTGATTCCCTACTCTTCAACATGCAGCTGCTGGGGTGACCTTGGGTCAGTTACAAGTTCTCCCAGAGCTGTTCTCTCACGAGCAGTCCTTGAAAGAGCTCTCTCAGCCCCACCTGCCTCGCAGGGTGTCTGTTGTGTGGAGGGGAAGGGAGAGGAGTTTGTAAGCCGCTCTGAGACTCCTTTGGGTAGTGAAGGGCGGGGTATAAATCCAGTCTCTCCTTCTTTTCTGGCGCCTGCCGAGTGTTTTTAGGAAATGGGTGTGGTGAGGTGGGGCTTCTGACTGGCTGTTGGAGGTTTTTTTGGTATTTCTGCATTTGTGTGTGCCTGGCAGTCATGGCGACCTCTGGCGAGTCGCGACTCCTGGGACACACAGGACATTCAGAGAAGTGGCTTGATAGCCTGCCCCCGCCTCCGGGCCCTGGTATTCCTTGGAGGTCTCCCGCCCAAGTACTTGCCAGAGTCGGCCCTGCTTGGCTTCCGTGATCTGACGAGATTGGGCCTGCCTGGGCTATCCTGATCAGGGTCTCCATGAATGGAATCCTCTTTTTAGCTGTGAAAAACCGAAAAACCTGAAGAAACCCTCTTGAGCCCGTACCTAAGCACTAAAGTCTGTGCGAGAACTGATTTTTACCTCAGTGATTTCAACCCCTGATTTCACGTGACCTCTCCCCCTTGTTGTTAAATGAAATCTTTTGTTATTTTTGGGATTCTAAAAGTGTCCCAAGTGCCATTTCCTGTCATTTAAGTTCAAGGGAGATCCTAACCTTTCCTTCAGGTTTCTGGTCTGAGCAAGTAGCCAAAATATATTACTGCACAGGGTGGAACAGCCAAGGTTTCTTTTCTTTTTTGTGTTGTGTGTGTGCGCACACCTGTGCCTGGAAGTCATGGCGACCTCTGGCGACTCCTACTGAGACACGGAGGACATTCAGAGAAGTGGCTTGATAGCCTGCCTCTGGCCTCCTGGCCCTGGTATTCCTTGGAGGTCTCCCATCCAAGTACTAGCCAGGGCCGACCCTGCTCGGATTCCAAGATCTGACAAGATCGGGCTGGCCTGGGCTATCCAAGTCAGGGCTTGACTGGCCACAGGAGATTTGACTGGCAGTGCAGGTTATTTTAAAACGTTAACTTCGGCGGCGGCTGCCACCACAACACAAGAACCTTCAGTGTGTGACCGAAGCCAGGGGTCATTTCCTGCAGGAGCGCACAGGAGCGGAGCTCCGGCAGTAAAGAGCCCAAGGGGGCGGGCACATGCAACAAGCCCCACCCCCTGCTCCCAGCAGCCCTCAGTCAGAGCAAGAAGCAGCCAGGTAAGCTGCAGAGGCCCCCCCCCCAATAGCCATCCAAAACAGTCCAGTGGCACCTTTAAGGCCAAGGTTTATTCAGGTACAAGCTCTCCCTCCTCTGTGACGGCAGATCCGCACGTCCGCCCCCGTTCCCTAGCTAGCAATCCAAAAGACTCCAGTGGAGCCTGAGCAGTGGGCGTTGCCTTCTGACACACGTCCGGTGATGTCAGGGGGTGTGTCAAATGCAAATGAGTTATGCCAATGAGTTACGCTAATGAGCTCCTGCAGCTCTTTTTCTACTAAATGACCCCTGACCGAAGCTAAGCTGCGGCAGCCATTTTGTGGCTGGCCCTGCCTCCCGCAGCGGCCGTTTTACAGCTGTGCCCGCCACACTGTCTTTTTACAAAGGTACCCACAGGCTCAAAAAGGTTGGGGACCCCGCTATATCCTAAGCCCGCAGTCCTCTGCACTCTTCCTCTGGAATAAATACCATTGAACGTACTCGGTGGTACTCCCAAATAAAATGTGCATGGGATCCTTGAGTTTAGCTGTAAGGCATTTCCTTACAGGGGCGTTGCCCACGATGTCCCGAAATCTGGGTTTGTGCCTCTTATCTCCCTTTGATAAGGGCGCCTCCCTGTTTATTCACAAATGGCACTGTGGGGGGGGGGGGAACCCAAACGCAGGAATCTACCATTCCGTAATCGGGGTTTAAAACAAGCCAGGCCAGCTATGAAGCGGACTTGACCGCTTTTTCTTAGTGCCCCTGTCCTACACCGGGGGGGGGGGTGTGTTCTCTGGCCTTTCTGCAGGCTGAAAGTTCCTTACCTGGTCCCCTGGGGGCAGTTCTTAGGACTGATAGATACGTGCGGGGAATACCGGCGTGGGTGGAGGGATATGGTGGTAGAGTGGACCACGTCACTTCCGACCGCAGGTGGAGGATCACATTTTGGAATACTCTCCCCACCACCACCACCTGGGTCAAAAAGTCCCTGCCAATAGAAATCCAGAAAAAGAAAGAGAAGAGATTGGGTTTATACCCCACCCTTCACTACCTGAGGGAGTCTCAGAGCGGCTCACAATCTCCATTCCCTTCCCCCTCCCTACAACAGACACCCTGTGAGGCAGGTGGAGCTGAGAGACCTCCCTTGAGAACTGCCCTTGGGAGAACAGCTCTGAGAGAACTTGTGACTGGCCCAAGGTCACACCAGCAGCTGCATGTGGAGGAGTGGGGAATCAAACCCAGTTCTCCCAGATTAGAGTCCGTGCACTTAACCACTACACCAAACTGGCTTGGTGGGGCTGAGAGAGCTCCCTCGAGAACTGCCCTTGGGAGAACAGCTCTGAGAGAACTTGTGACTGGCCCAAGGTCACACCAGCAGCTGCATGTGGAGGAGTGGGGAATCAAACCCAGTTCTCCCAGATTAGAGTCCGTGCACTTAACCACTACACCAAACTGGCAAAGAGGGGAAGCTGGGAGCTTTCCCTATGCTGTGCTGGTTTCCCATCTCCACTTGAAGCCAGCTGGGTGACCTTGGGTCAGTCACAGCTCTTTCAGAGCTCTCTCAGTGCAAAAATAAGTCTAGCTCACCACCTAGTGGTGATTAACACTAAAGAGCTAGAATTCAAGGCTGACAGACAATCTTAGGATTCCGTGGCTATACTACACACAATGCCATACAATTATTATTATTATTAATAATTCCCATCTGTATGGAAGTTCCTTACACAAAGGAACATTCAAGAAGAAGAGTAGGTTTTTATATCCTTCTTTTCTTTAACTTTTAAGGAGCCTCAAAGTAGCTGACAATCCCCTTCCTCTCCCCACCACTGGCACCTTGAGAGGCAGGTGGGGCTGAGAGAGTCCTGAGGGAACCGTGACTGGCCCAAGGTCACCCAGCGGGCCTTGTGTGTCTCAAAGTGGCTGACAATCACCTTCTCTTCCTCTCCCCACAACAGGCACCTTGTGAGGCAGGTGGGGCTGAGAGGGCCCAGAGAGAACCGAGACTGGCCCCAGGTCACCCAGCGGGCCTCATGTGTCTCAAAGCGGCTCACAATCACCTTCCCTTCCTCTCCCCACCACACCACAGGCACCTTGAGAGGCAGGTGGGGTTGAAAGAGTCCTGAGAGAACCGGGACTGACCCAAGGTCACCCAGCAGGCCTCCTGTGGACTGGGGAATCGCACCTGGTTCTCCAGATTAGAGTTGCTACAAGTCACCAGCTGAGTGGCTGTTCCCTAACCAGAAATAAGCTCATGAATCAGAGTTCCTCTCTTGTCCCTTTTACAGTTTCAGAGGGTGGCTGTTGTCAGTCCACAGTAGAAGAGCTGGGTTCGAATCCAGAAGTCTCTCAGAGACCCAACAGAATTTTCAGGGTATAAGCTTTGTGTGTGTGTGTAAAATTTATTATATAATTAAGGGGTACAGAAACAAAAGGAGGGAAAGTAGTAACAAAAAGTCATTAAGCATTATGCATTTTACATTTACTGAGGACACAGTTCTAATATATAAAATAAGCGTAATAGGTACATAGGAGTAGGTATCTGAAAAAGGGAGCTTTGACTCAAAAATGTATCCCCCGAAAACCTTGTTGTTCTCCAGGGTGCTATGGGATTTGAATCTCGCTCATCCCTTTTACAGCTTTCATTTCGTTTTTCCTCGTAGGATACGTCCTGATCGCCGGATCCGTCAGCTTTGCCCTTTGCTACCAACACGGGCCGCTTGCCAGTGACCAAAGCATGAACCTCTTGATGTGGATGCTGCAGTTGGCGGGCTTGGTTTTAATTCATTTGGGCACCGCCATCCCTCAGGTTGCGTACGCAGCGGTCGCCACCCTGCTCTGCTCAAAAATCGCGCATTACCCACTCCGAGTATTCTGCAGCGTCGGCAGGTTAGTACCTTTCTGGCTATGGAATGCCCTGTTACCGTGAAGGGTTTCCCCCCACAATGCGTCAAGCGACAGTGCTTATCACTGTGCATCCCAGGAGATGCAGGGCTGCCGCTGAAAATGGCATCCCCGTGTTTTCTGCCCCGCTGTAGCGTACAGCACATCTTAACTGCAGGACATCCTAATGTAGTATGTTTCTGTTCCCCGGCCAAGGGAAATCTGATGATGTAGAGACGTGGGGCGGGGAAATGGCGCATTGTTGTGATGTCACTGCGGGGGGAGATGTAAGGGGAGGGGCCAAGGAGGTGGCTTGTCAATGGCTTAGGGCTGTTGGTTAGACGTTCAGTCCCTGGCATCCTTGCTTGAAGACCCTCCGGTAGCAAGTTTTGGGAAAGGTGTTTTAGTGCTGGGAAGCTGCTGCCAGTCACAGGAGACAAGTCTCTGCTAGGCAGAGCGGTGGTCTGACTCAGGATAAATCAGCTTTTAAAAAAATACTTTTAACGGTACTGCTCTTACGGCCAATTCGGCTCTAAAACATGTCACGCTCAGACTCGAAAAAGAAGGACATTTATTTAATACATGCGTCTATATAATGTCAGTCACGGAGCTGCGGTGGCTCAAGTGGTTAAGACGCTGAACTGAAGGCTGTGGAAGGTCGGTAGTTCAGCAGTTCGGGACCCGAGTTGCCGCATGACAGAGTGAGCTCCGTCTCTAGTTCCAGCTCCTGCCAACCAAGCAGTACGAAAGCAAGAAATTGCAAGTAGATAAATAGGTACCGCTTCGGTGGGAAGGTAACAGCGTTCCGTGCGCCTTGGTGTTTAGTCATGCTGGCCACATGACCACGGAAACGTCTTCGGACGGCGCTGGCTCTTCGGCTTTGAAACGGAGATGAGCACCGCAACCCTAGAGTCGGACTCGACTAGCTTTCGAGCAAGGGGAACCTTTACCTTTACTATATAATGTAAACATTTAATGATTTTTAATCGTAATCGACTGAGAACAGAACTTGGCAACGGCAGTGTAATATTAAAATCCACCCCTGCTAAAAGAAACCTCAAATTATCCAGTTCACACCTAAGTCCTAGATATAAGATTTTATCCAACTGTCTCTTGCCTCGTTAAGTGAATCACCGTCAAATAGACAGTGCTGAAGGGTGTCTATTTGGCCAGAACCGCATTGGGCCAGTCAGTCGGAGTAAGGCACCTTCTTTAAATGTCCCGATAGTTCCCCGAATGGAATAGCATTCAATCTAGCCAGCATAAATAATAATCTGTAGCGTGGAACTATCAGGAAATCAAAATAGGCTGGAAGAGACTGCGGTCACATTAAACCTAAATATAAAGGTGAGCACAGTCTGCCCACTCTTATCATGGTACTTCTAGGCTGCGGTCACACCCACTAAATAATCCGCTTTCAACCCACTTTCAGTGCACTTTCAAACTGGATTTTACAGTGGCCCATTCTGTGTCTAGCATTTGCTCCGCTGTTTTACCAAACCCACGTTGGAACAGAAATTCAGGACATGATCTTCCAATTGCCAGTTTCAGTCAATACATTAGTATCCAGGGCTATTTTTGGGCAGGAACACACAGGAACGGAGTTCCGGCTAGCTCCTGAGTTGGCCACGCCCAGCAGGAACTCATTAGCATAACAGGCCACGCCCAACAGCAGAAACGCATTAGGATTGGCTACATTAGGGGTGTGTGGCCTAACATGCAAAGGAGTTCCTGCTACAAAAAAAAAAGCCCTGGGTTTTGACAACAAACAAGGTAAACAGAACAAGAATCAAATGGTGGGTGTGGCTGGATGACCACACTTCTGGTAACATGGGGTGTGGCCTAATATGCTAATGAGCTGTGCTCTCAGGGTGTGTCCTAATATGCTAATTATTTTCTGCTGTTGGGTGTGGCCTATTATGCTAATGAGTTCCTGCTGAGCTTTTTCTACAAAAAAAGCCCTTACAACTTGTGCATTTCGAATCCACACTACAATTTCGAAAGACCAGTCTTGTTTTGCTTCTCTTCTAGAAAAGCCCGTCGGTACTTCAGAGCCGAAAAGCTAGAGTGTCGTTATCTGACCGAAGAGGAGTACCAAGAACAGGGCGAATCAGAAACTGTCAGAGCTTTGGAGGAGCTGCGGGCCTTCTGTAGGAGCCCCAGTTTCCCCTCGTGGGTAGCCGTGGTGAAGCTGCAGTCCCCTCAGAAGTAAGAACACGCTTGACATCTCAAAATCAGTTTTACACTCACTGGAAGGTTAGCAAGGCGAGGTCTTTGTCCGCCTCCTCCGGGAGGTTGTTGCGAAAGAGGGGGAGAGCAACGGAAGGTGCCAAAATGCAGCAGTGGCTGATTGGATCCTGGCTAGAAGGGGTGGCATACAGACCCTCTGTTGGGAGGAACTAAGCTTCTGCACAAGGACAGACGAGACGGTCCTTCAGAGAAACATTTCGAGTCCAGTAGCACCTTAAAGAACAACCAAAACGTCCAGGGTATAAGCTTCCAAGAGTCAAAACTTATACCCTGGAAATTTTGTTGGCCTTTAAGGTGTTACTGGACCCAAATCTTCTTGTTACTTCAGGCCAAAACAGCTCATACTTCAGATCAACATAGCTACCTTCCCGAAACTGTGGAGGTCATGAAGGCTGGGAACTCGCCCAGAACCGACCAAGTTGCCAGGTAAAGATTTGAAAGTCGGCATCGCTGTAGGCTGCATCAGTCAGGCCGCACCTGGAGTCTTGTGTGCAGTTCTGGAGGCCTCCCTTCAAAAAGGATGTGGACAGAACGGAGCGGGTGCAGAGGAGAGCGACGAGGATGATCGGGGGCCTGGAGACCGAGAAGCCCTAGGAGGAAAGGCTGAGGGACTCGGGAATGTTCGGTCTGGAGAAGAGGAGGTTGAGGGGGGACAGGATGGCTCTCTTGAAGTATTTAAAGGGCTGTCCCTTAGAGGAGGAGGGCAGGGAGCTGTTCCTGTTGGCGGCAGAGGAGAGGACTCGCAAGAACGGGTTTAAATTAAGGGCTGGATGGTATTGGCTGGATCTTAGGGAAAACGTTTTGACAGAGTTGTGCACGAGTGGAATCAGCTGCCTGGGGAGGTGGTGAGCTCCCCCTCACTGGCAGCCTTTTGAGCAGCGGCTGGACAAACCCTTGTCAGGGATGCTCTGGGCTGATCCTGCCTTGAGCAGGGGGTTGGAGTAGATGGCCTCTAGGGCCCCTTCCAACTCCGTGATTCTAGGATTCTGTGAGCCAAGGGATAATCAAATGACAGTGCCCTGAGAGCTTCAGTGGCTGGTATACGTACAGCCAACGTAGAGCATGTCTCTAACAGGGTTCTATACATCCAATCTCTTCTTCTAAATCCAATCTCTTCTCCATCTACATTGAAAGAGACGTTAACAGTCCATACATAGAGGTCCTCTGAGGTAATTTTTTTTAATTTCTTCCTGCCTGGTGGTTCTCTCCACTCACGTTCCCTTTCCCTTCAGGTTTGCGAACTTCGTCCTGGGACTTCCTCACGTGTCGCCAGAAGAAACAAAGGCCCACGACAAACAGTATGGCATCGGAGGAGCCCTCTTAGAGGATCAACTTTTTACCTCAGACACAGAGTCGGAACCGGACCGACAAACAGGTCCCTTTCAGGAGGAGGAGGAGGAAGAAGAAGAAAGGGAACAAACGCAGCCACGAAACAGTTTGCTCGTCCGTAGCAGAGAATTTCTTTGAGCCACTCGTCTCTGTTCACAGAAAACGGGCAAAATACACAGTCCAGAGTTGGGAAGTTCCACTTGCTGGGCTGTAGAGGGCAGCCATGACCTCTGAAGGACTGACTCCCGCTCTGCCGGCCCTCACAGCTAAGATTGCCCGGGGGATTTGGGGGAACATCTGCGGTCCCGAAAGGTGCCCTGCAGCCAGCTGTTCTACAAAGTGAAGGTGTTTTTGAACTCTGAACAGGAGACTGGCAGGGAGAATTTGCCTCCAGTCAGCGTCTCCGCTTACAAACTCTACCCAAGGTGCTGAGCAGGGTGTGCCGGGAGGGCTTTTGAGCAGAGAAAACTGGCACAGATTAGGCACTACAAAGCTATTTGTGTGAACTGTTTTTAATTCGTCCACACCAGGTGTGAGGGGGAACCAAGGCCTGGTCTAGACATGCAACGGAATGAGGTCGGAGAGTACTGAAGCGGCCGATTGGTCTGCGCTGCTTATGACTGAAGGGGAGCGGATTACGTTCTTTGAAGATCCACACCCTTATTAATTCCCTGTGAGTGGGAAATTAGCACAGTGTGTCAAGGGCGAAGCCAGAACGTCCCTCTTTGAAGTGGTCGTTTTCTGGTTTGTAGGGAGTTTTTTACACAGAGGAGCATTTTTTAAAAATGCAGCTCTCCTCACCTCTGGCGTGAAGTGTGGGGGCTCATTTTCCGCCGCGCGTGAAGACCAGGTCTCGTAATTGTTGCCTTTGCGACATCACATATATCTTCTTCTATGGAGAAGACTGTTCAGGTGGAAGGTGAACTGCTGTGATCAATTCAAATGGTCCCTTTCTGGAATAGGTAGCCTAGTTTTGGGGGCCACAGTGGCTCAGAGGTTAAGACGCTGAGCTGCAGACCGGAAGGCCAGTAGTTCGGCAGTTCGAGACCCGAGTGCCGCGTGACGGAGTGAGCTCCCGTCTCTGGCCCCAGCTCCTGCCAACCTAGCAGTTCGAAAGCAAGAAATTGCAAGTAGATAAATAGGTACCACTTCGGTGGGAAGGTAACGTGTTCTGGTCCCCTTGGCATTTAGTCATGTCAGCCACATGACCACGGAAACGTCTTCAGGCAGCGCTGACTCTTCGGCTTGGAAATGGAGATGAGCACCGCTCCCTGGAGTCGGATACGACTGGCTTTCGAGCAAGGAAACCTTTACCCTTAGCCTAGTTTTAGTTTACATGGGGGCCCAGACTTTTTGAGTCTGTCGGTACTGTTGGAATTCTGCCACTGAACAGTGGGCACAACCACAAAATGGCCGCCGGAAGAGGCGGAGGCAGTCACAAAATGTAACTCTTCAGTGTAATTCTTCAACATTTCTGGCAGAGACTTTGTTTAACAGGATGCCTTTTAAAATAAATATTTGGTTGAAAAATATTTTCTTGAATACACAGTTTATTTTCAGTCACACAGTGAAGATGGCTGCTGCTGGAAGCAACGTTTTTAAAAATCTGCACAGCCAATCAGCTCTCCAGGGGCCGGTCAGAAGCCTCACCCACTTTCTAAAAACACTTGGTGGGTGACCTGGTGCCCAGGATCACCATGTTGGGGAACCCTGGTTTACATCATCCGTTAGGAACATCTTAACCTCCATAGTGGTTATAATCCCCGTATTTACAACTCAGACGTCATTTGCTACTGTTTCCCATGGCTTTTGAATACAGGAGGAGGCTGTCTTGTTCCTTCAAAACAGGCATGTGGTACCACAAGAATGTGTGATGGAAAGATCTAGAATTAGGCCTTAGAAATCCTATATTCAGCAGTCTGGCGTAGCGGTTCAGTGCGCAGACTCTAATCTGGGAGAACCGGGTTTGATTTCTCCACTCCTCCACTTGCGCCTGCTGGATGACCTTGGGCAAACTACAGTTCTGTCAGAGAGCTGTCCTTGAAAAAGAGCAGTTTCTGTCAGAGCTCTCTCGGCCCCACCCACCTCACAAGGTGTCTGTTGTGGGGAGGGGAAGGGAGAGGCGTTTGTCAGCCGCTCTGAGACTCCTGTGGGTAGTGAAGGGCGGGGTATGACTCCAATCTCTTCTTCTTCTATGTAGATAAGGCGTACTGTTTGGTTTGCTCCTATAGTACATGCTCCGTTCCCATTCTCTCCTAATCGGAATTCTTGTCAGACATTCATGTCAAAGGAGAATGTCTGAGGAATGGAGGGCTGAGGACGCCATGGAGAGAGATCTTTGAATGGCGAGACTCCTCCCTCCCCCCGAATGAGTACTGGAAATCCCATTTCCACCCCTTGTTTCTAAGACTGCCTTCTTCCCTATCAAGTTATTACAGTGGCAGTGTTCAGTCTTGAAGGCGGTAGAAAGCAGCGTTAGGGACCCTCCTGTAAGAAAGCAGAGGTTTCCGGTCCTCAGGCCTAAGAAGATGCGGCTGGAAAAGGGCAGGTTAATTCCTAGGAAAACCTTCAAGTGTTGCAGGTAGGGTTGCCAGGCCTGGGTTGGGAAATACCTGGAGACTTTGGGGGTGGATCTGGGAGAGGGCGGGGTTTGGGGAGGGGCCTCAGCGTGGTCCAATACCACAGAGTCCACCCTTCCAAGCAGCCATTTTCTCCAGGGCAGCTGATCTCTGTCAGCAGGAGGTCAGTTGTAAAAGCAGGGGATCCCCAGGCCCCACCTGGAGGCTTGGCAACCCTAGTTGTAGGATTTCTGTGGTCTGAAACGAAGCCGCCTTTATTTTAATATACTGTTCTTACAGTCAATTTGGCTCTGAACAGTGTCACACTAAGGCTAAAAAATGGGAGGAAATTTATTTAATACGTGTGTCTATATAATGTGAAATTTAATTATTTTTAATCTGAATCGACTGAGAAAAGAACTTGGTAACTGCCAATGTAATATTGAAATCCACCCCTCCTAAAAGAAGCTAAGCGTTCACTGCCTACTGTCGCTTCTAGCTTTGATACCAGCAGAATGACTTGGGCAAACGTTGAGAAGTTTGTGTGTGTTTTACAGGTTGCACCATTTGGCCAATTTTGAGATGCCTATCTGAGCCACAGTGGCTCAGAGGTTAAGATGCTGAGCTGCAGACTGGAAGGTCTGTAGTTTGGCAGTTGGAGACCCGAGTGCCACGTGATGGAGTGAGCTCCCGTCTCTGGCCCCAGCTCCTGCCAACCTAGCAGTTCGAACGCAAGAAATTGCAAGCAGATAAATAGGCACCACTTCAGTGGAAAAGTAACAGCGTTCCGTGCGCCTTGGCGTCTAGTGATGCCAGCCACATGACCTTGGAGACGTCTTCGGACAGCACTGGCTCTTCAGCTTGGAAACAGAGATGAGTACCACTCCCTAGAGTAGGATTCGACTAGCTTTCGAGCAAGGGAAACCTTTACCCTTTACTTACCTGTATGTTAATCTTACACCCAGGGCTTTTTTTTTTTTTTTTACTGTACCCCAACAGTACGGAGCACCGGCACCTTTCTTCAGGGCTCTCCCAAGTCTTGAGGGAGGAATTGGTGGAAATTGGTGCAACTTTAAGCACCTTTTCTTCTGTTTTCTTTATAAATTATTTTGTACATAAAAAGCACTGCTCAGTCCATCAGTGATGAAAACGGTACATGCTTTCCCCAAGTTCGCTTCCCCGCCCCAACCAAGAAGGGGAACGTTTTCACTTTTTGAAGCCGTTTTTTGAATACTGGAGAGTTTCTTTCAGTCGGGGGTCCCCCAACTATTAGAGCCGATGGGCACAGGGTGGCAGGCACATGTGCCTCCTTGTTAAGAGGACGGAGGCTGTTACGGGGAATGGCCCGTTCTCAGAGGCCCGCGTGACAAACTTGTATGCACTGCGTGTGCTTAACTGAAATTCTAGTGTGCAGCCCTGAACCGGATCGCCCAAGCAAGCCTGAACTCGTCAGATCTCGGAGGCTAAGCAGGGCCGACCTTGGCAATTACTTGGAAGGGAGACCTCCCAGGAATACCAGGGCCAGGAAGCAGAGGCAGGTAATTATCAAAGCCACCTTTCTGAAACATCCTAGCCCTACTGGGGATCCACCAGAAGTCACCACGATTTCCAGGCTCACAAACACACAAAATACACACAAAGAATTCTAGTGTGCTCTACACTGCGGTGACGTCGTGTCTCTGAAAAACTGCATACCCAAGAAGCATCCTTCTTACCGAGCCACTGTCCAGGTAGCGTGATACGAGTATTCCATTCCCCTTGGCTACGCATTAGACAACTCCCTGGCAAGTCATGTGCCTCGTGTGGTATGATGCTGGTAAACAGTGGTGTCTGCCCTGTCTTATATCCCCCGTCCTTGGAAAACCAGGTGACTGCTGTGGCTCGAAGTGTGTTTGCCCAGCTCCAGCTAGTGCATCAACTGTGTCTGTTTCTGGTTCAGACAGATCTAGCCACGGTGATCCATGCCTTCGTTACATCTAAACTGGACTACTGCAATTGGCTCTACTTGGGGCTAACCCTTGAAGAGTGTTTAGAAGCCGCAGCTAGACTGCTGGTTGGGGCCAGCTTTCGGGAACATGGGTCCCCAATACCACAATGACTGATCTGCTCCCAAGCCCATTTCAAGTGTTGGTTTTCTCCTTTAAAGCCCTACGTGGCTTGGGACGGGGGGTATCTCAAAAACTGTCTTCCCCCATACATTTCTGCCTGGGCGCTGGTTTTATACCCCACCCTTCACTACCTGAAGGAGTCTCAGAGCGGCTTACAAACTCTCTTCCTCTCCCCACAACAGACACCCTGTGAGGTAGGTGGGACTGAGAGAGTCTTGAGGGAACCGTGACTGGCCCAAGGTCACCTAGCAGGCCTTGTGTGTCTCAGAGCTGCTGACAATCGACTTCCCTTCCTCTCCCCACAACAGGCACCTTGTGAGGTAGGTGGGGCTGAGAGAGCTCTGGAAGAACTGCTTGTGACAGAAGAGCTCTGAGAGAACTACGACTGACCCAAGGTCACCCACTTAGCTTTATGTGGAGTGGGGGATCAAACCTGGTTCTCCAGATGAGACTTTGCCGCTCTTAACCACTACACCAAGCCTTTTCAGTGGCAGCCCCACGATAATGGAACTACCTCCCTAGGGAGGTGTGCCTGACCCCCTCATTGTCAATCTTCAGAAGACAGTTGAAGACGGTTATATTTAGGACTGCATTTTGCTTGATTTAGCTTGTATTAAGAACATCAGAAGAGCCCTCCTGGATCAGACCAGTGGCCCATCTAGTCCAGCATCCTGTCTCACACAGTGGCCAACCAGTTCCTCTGGAGGGCCACCAACAGGGCAGAGAGGCCGAGGCCTTCATAAGAACATCAGAAGAGCCCTCCTGGATCAGACCAGTGGCCCATCTAGCCCAGCATCCTGTCTCACGCTGTGGCCAACCAGTTCCCCTGGAGGGCCAACAACAGAGCATAGAGGCCGAGGCCTTCCTAAGAACATCAGAAGAGCCCCGTTGGATCAGAGCAGGGGTCCATCTAGCCCAACATCCCGTCTCACACAGGGGCCAACCAGTTCCTCTGAAGGGCCAACAACAGGGCATTGGGGGCGGGGTCCTCATTATGGCCTGCTAAGGGGAAAGGACAGGAATCGCCTCAGGGAAGCGTCCCCTTTGAAAGCTGTTTATTCCTGTGGCCATCACCACCCCCTCATTATCTTGGCTGGTTGCCCTCCTCTGTACTTTCTCCAGCTCTGCAACATCCTGTTGGAGATACGGTGACCAGAACTGTGACCAGAGCTGCATCTGAAGAGGTGAGCCGTGACTGACGAAAGCTCCTCCCCTGCCACAAATTCTGTTTGTCTTTAAGGTGCTCCTGGACTCTTGCTCTTTTCTACTGCTACAGGCAGACTAACATGGCCGCCCATCTTGATCAAGAACTGTACACAGTAAGCCAAATGAGGCAGTCTTAGTTGGAGTTTTTAATACTGTGACTTTTATGGGGTTCATAACTGTTGTTTTTACTGTGTTTCTGTTTTATTTATATACTCCTCTGGAGGGCCGACAACAGGGCATGGGGGGGGCTCCTTGTTATGGCCTGCTAAGGGAAAAGGACAGGAATCGCCTCAGGGAAGCGAGGCCTTTAATCTCTCTCGTGCCCTTTGAAAGCTGTTTATTCCTGTGGCCATCACCACCCCCTCATCATCTTGGTTGGTTGCCCTCCTCTGTACTTTTCCCAGCTCTGCAACATCCTGTTGGAGATACAGTGACCAGAACTGTGACAAGAGCTGCATCTGAAGAGGTGAGCCGTGACTCATGAAAGCTCCTCCCCTGCCAAATTCTGTTTGTCTTTAAGGTGCTCCTGGACTCTTGCTCTTTTCTACTGCTACAGGCAGACTAACATGGCCGCCCATCTTGATCAAGAACTGTACACAGTAAGCCAAATGGGGCAGTCTTAGTTGGAGTTTTTAATACTGTGACTTTTATGGGGTTCATAACTCTTGTTTTTACTGTGTTTCTGTTTTATTTATATATATTGTAAGCCGCCATGCGTTCCGCACGTGAGAAAGGCGGCTCTTGAATGTTTTAAATAAATTAAATGGTTGGTTTTCAGTGAGTGCCGAAGTGTTCTCTCTAAAGGCGAGCTAAGATCATTCACACCACTGTTCCCTCTAAGCCGAGTTAGCGTGAGCTAGCTCACCGTTTTTTAGCCTCCAGCTCAAACATTTTTGTCTTCGCTCAGGAAGGGATGGCTCCAGAGCAAACTAACTTATGCAGCAGCCTAATCGTTTGCTCACAATTTTAATGCCAGTCGCTCACAAAGTAGAATTTTTGCTCACACGACTCCCCAGCTTAGAGGGAGCATTGATTCACACCTTCCCATTTTCATGGCCCTTCCCCATGGTCCTTCCCCCCGCCCCTTGTTTTAATCAGGATATTCTCCATCAGCAGGCTGTTACATAAACCAAAAAAGAAACGCCCACACGTGGCTCTGTCCAGTGAATCTTTTTTAATTTTTTTGCCACTACCATTTTAAACAAATTTCACAAATATGAAAACCCGTGTACAGTTCCACTGCCCACATGGAATGAAGGGACATATTCAAAAGACAATCCAGGAGTGTAAACGTTAACACGTGTCCTCTGCGGCCTCTCACAAGATCGACGCCGCCCTCGGCTTCCACCTGGCGAGCCCTTCGCAAGTTAGCTGACCGGTTGCTTTTTGTTTTTTTTTAAAATACCCCCTCCCCTTTTGTTAAAGCCCGCCAACTGCTTGGTTCTTCCTAGCCGATCCTGCCCACCCCCTCCCCCAGATATAAACAATAAATACATTTCTGATTACTTTTTTTTTAAAGGACACTTAAGACGCCATGAGAAATTTACAGTACAGTACATTTAAGTTGAAGTGCAAAAAAAATAGCTAGTGACTACTCTCTGGCGTTTGGTCCCCCGGTTTCCATGGACAGATTCTGCTTCAGTTCCTTCAACCTTCCCTTAAGGCTTAGGAAGAAAGAATGCCCCACGCTATTCCGTGGGGCATCGTGAGGGACCCGGAGGAGCCTCTTTTCCAGTCCGTGGGTTCCCCTTTTCATCCCTTCTGCCCAGCTCTGGGATATACCTGCTACAGATCTTGCCGTTAACGATCAAGAAAGGCAGTGTGCAGCTCTGCAGAGCAGAGGCCTACAAATCTAACCAATATGTGGACGTTACTTGGCCTTTATAAAGGACTGGGCCCATCTCAGCTGCCCTGGCTTGACTTGACCGCATTGAGAATGACCTTCGGTTGCCTCTTCTCAGCTGCCCCGTTCAGACGACAGCGGGGACAGGTGTCCAGCGTATACATTAGCAGGCCAGACGGAGGGCAAATTCTAGGACCTACCTCAGCCGCTTGCCACCTGACTGGGTTGCCAGAAGACCACGCTGGCGGTGGGAAACCACTGGGAATTGGGCTCCACGTGGTCTTCCTTTGAGGCAAGAATGTAGCTAATCTGGCCTCAAAAGGGCCGAATCAGAGAGGGCTCCCCCCCCCAAGGCCCCCCCAGCTCTATGTGCCCCCCCCCTCGGCCTAAAGGACTTTAGCTTCAAGCTTAACTTTTGCTCACAGTTGCAAACGGCAGAAGTGAGCGAGGATCGCCCAACACCGAGAAACACACGAGACCCCGACCCTGCCAGTGTCTGACAAAACACAAAAGTGTACAACAACACCCCAAACGTAGTGTGCCCGTTTCCCTTATACCTGTGTCTCTGCTCTCGTTTCTGAATTAACCGTGCCCTCCCTCCCTCCTCTAGAAGTCGTTTGGCCCTCAGGCACTTTATTTATGGATTAATGTGGATTTTAAATGCTTCCCCAAATTAACCGACTTTATACCACGTCCCAAAATTATAACCTTGTCGGCTTGTATCCTGCCACTCTGTCCAGCGAAGTCGGAAGCCTTCCCCCACGGAAGGGGCTCTTTCTGTGGGGAAAAGACCTCGGCAAGATACAAGCCGTGGGCCCCTCATGAGATGGGCTTCAGTGGCGTTCGGTCGAGGAACCTCCCACTGGGCATTAGAGACTCCCTTTTCTCCCACCAGCGCTGTCAGCAAGCCTCCTGTGCGACCCAGACTCAACAGTCCCCCCCTCCCCCCCAAAAAACAAACCATGTTGGATCACCTGTCTGAGAGTGCATTAGCAGAGTCCAAAATGCAGGGAAGGAGGGGTCTTTCCCTGCGCCCATTATCACTTCCACAGGGAAAAGGGAAGCTCTTCAGAGAGTGAGAGAGAGAGAGACTTCCTGTAGGTGAAACCTCCCCACTGGACTAGGGCTACTGCATCCCCTGTGAAAGCCTAAACAGTCCCACTTGTCACTGGGTGCCCTGCTTAAACAGTCTTCCCCCTAAAACTACTCACTCCTAAGTAAAGAAATGTGCATCGATACACGACTCGATCACGCTCTTCTTTCTAAAACTGCCCTTCTTGACGGTCCTCAGTCCAGTAGGCGGAAAGGTCTAACAGCAACTTCGTTGGCTGGAGGAGTTCCCGACACGTGCTTAACTGAAAACCTTAACCGAAAAGCCGAAACCTGTGCGTGGTTTTCCGAGAAGTCTTTATGAAAGACAGATTTCTATCCTGCTCCCTCGTTTAGGCGCTTGCTAGTATTTTTCTTGGACGTTTCAACCGTTTGTCCGGTTTTTACAAAGAAATCGGTACTCGTCCTATGTAACTTAAGACAGAAGAGGGGAAAGCGTATTTCCCCTCCCCCCCCAGTAACTAACACAAAACATTATCAAGCTAGGGGTGACTGTAATTCAACCTTCCTCTTGGGAAACGTGAATCAAATTTTTATTCCCCCTCCCCCTTTGTAGAGGACAAATTAAATGTCAAATAGATCAAGATCGACCTTCTGTCTGACACAGGGATATAGGCCGACCCAGCCTTTCTATACGGGTCACAAATCTGTCAAGAGAAATATCGAAGGGCTGTTGCTGGTTACTAATAACACGGTCTTGTCCGTTGTGCCCTCTCTGGCTTTCGGCCCTCCCTAAAACAGGCCGGTCGGGTTTTGTCACAAGAAAAGGCCTTGAATATTTTAAAAGTGTGTCAGGTTACCGGCGTGATGAAGGGAGCCGTGGTTTCAGGCTCTCTGGCCAGGAGCAGGATTCGACACAGCAGCGGGATGCAGAAAATTCAGTTTAGTGCTCAGCCGCCAGAGACGGAGCTTTACTGTCCGAGGGAACTGGGTCGGGCGTAGGGGAGTCAGGGCTGGGCTGGGGGTCGAGGGGGGCCGGAGGTACCGAAGTGTCTCCAGAGGCGTCACTGTTTCTCAGATCCAGAGACTGGTTGGAAGGATTGCTTGGCTCACTGCTAGGGCTACTGTTGGCTTGCTAGGAAAGAGAGAGAAGAGAAAACATGTCAAGTGAATGCTTGGTGAGGGGGGGGACGACTTTCTGCTTGGGGAACACAGGTATTCGGCCATTCCGGGGGAGCCAGGCAGGTTCCTCATAAGCAGAGCACGCACGAGCCAGCCACACAAACATGGAAGCGAGGAGGGAAGCCATCGGAGGTCACGTAACACGTCCGAACACAAGGCGACCCGACTTACCTTCCTTATCTTTTCCCAACTGCTCTTCCGCAAGCAGCATGAGGGGGAAAAACTCATTGTATTTCAAGGTAACAAAATGACGGGATTTTCTTTATTTGACACGCGAAAGAAACCAAATATTCCTATTATTCGTTGACGCGTTTCAGGTTCCCGTTTTCTACTTCTAATGTAGCTGCGTGTATTTCTTGACCTATTTCCCCCCGTGTAACACTTCCCATCCCAATGTGTTTGCTATTTCTGGAGCAGAACTATGAATATTTCAGTAGACATACTAAGCAGCCGGCAACAGCCAATGGGGGTGGGAGGTGGGAGAAGATATTACATTCTGGAACCAGTCCGTTCTGTGTGTTTTAAAAGCCATTCCCCAGAAGTTGCAAGTATCATTTAAAGAACAAAATAGTAAAAAGCCCGGTAGCACCTTTAAGACTAACAAAGTTTATTGTAGCATAAGCTTTTGAGAAACACAGCTCTCTTCGCCTGAGAACTGTGTTTCTCGAAAGCTTATGCTACAATAAACTTTGTTAGTCTTAAAGGTGCTACTGCAGGCGTGTTGAACTCATTTGTTACAAGGGCTGGATCTGACATAAATGAGACCTTGTCAGGCCGGGTCACGTGTGTCACAAAATGTAACGCCGGGTAGCGGAGATATAAACTTCATAAAGGACACAGACACAAAGGTTTTTTTTTAACTTAAAATAAAAACATGCTTAAAACATTAGCTCTGTAAGCTGCAACCTACTTTTGATTTATTGACTTTCACCACAGAAACCTCATGCTCAGAGTTCTGAGTCTAGGACCCAGGTTAAAACATGAAATGGCTGAGCGAATGAGAGAGTCTGGCGAAGCAAGCTATGATGCAGCAGCAGCAGCAACAGCAGAACTGGAAGCAGGAAAGGGCCAGTTCCACTGCGGGCCTGATGGAAGCCCTCCGGGGGCCTGATTCGACCCCCGGGCCGCATGTTTGACACCCCAGTGCTACTGGGCTTTTTACTATTTTGCAGCAGACTAACACGGCCAACTCCTCCGGATGTAAAGAACAAGGTTCCCTAGAAGGTCAGAGCCTTATTACTGCATTATTGTCTAATACAAACGTTAATTTCTGTGATGCCCGGACTCGGATTTGGCAAAGGAAGTCCGCACACAGAAGCCAGACTGTGTGCCCAAATCCACCTACTAGACGGGGTCTCATACCCACAAGCCAGCCAACGTTCTTCTCAGAGTTTCATATGGTGCTGCCAGTCAAGGTAGGGTAAAAATTTGGATACCAATCCCATGAAGACACCGATGGGAGTGGAACGGCTACTGATGCAAAATACGAGTTTGACATGTTTACAATCGATGCTTTAACGCAGGGCTCCCCAACGCGGTGCCCGTGGGCGCCAGGATGCCCGACACCTTTCCCTGTGCTCACCAACTACGTTTAAAGAGTGGCAGGGGCGAGGTGGGGCATTTTCCCAGCAGGGCATCTGACTGGCTGTGCAGATTAAAAGTCACCCCGCTAAACAGAGCTTCTGCCTGAAATGTTGAATCGTTACTATTAAGAGTTACATATGTAACCTCGCTCCCTGACATTTTGTGGCTGGCTCGACCTCCTGCGGCAGCCATTTTGTGATTGCGGCCACCGTGCTGTGACAGAATGCCAAACGTGCCACAGGCTCAAAAAGATTGGGGAGCCCTGCTTTAAAACACTGTCGATGAATCTGATCCGGCTCTCAAAATAGGGTTGGTCCCAAATTAGGGGGGGTCCCTGGTGGAGGAAGGCGTCCCCCGCCAACAGGCCCTGCTCCCCAGTCGCCAATCAGTTGGCCAGCTGAGGGACGTCCCTGGAGAAAGAGAAAGGCCCAGGGCTTCTCGTCAGCGTTGCACAGGAAGTGATGTCATCACACCAGTGATGTCCAGTTGACGCTCTGGTATCTGGGGGGAAACTCTTCGCTAGAAGCCGGTTTTACCGTAGTATTTTGCCCAAATACCAGAGCGTCGCCTGGGCATCGCCGGTGTGATAAAATCACTTCCAGGTAAGTCTCCCATCCCCCACCGGTTGCCAGGAGGGATCTGGCAACCCTGTCTTAAAAGCAGCTGCTTTGTATGTTCCATGGGGCATGGATTCCATACCTGCCACTGAAACGGCACTAAGTGGAAGCACCGACATGGGGAATTCTTCACTTCCTGTTTCATTTTTAGCCACATGCCCAATGGGTCTCTTAAAACTCTGCACAACCAAACCCCTTTTCTGAGCAGCAGTTCTGAACATAAAAACATCAGAAGAGCCCTGCTGGATCAGACCAGTCGTCCATCTAGTCCAGCATCCTGTCTCACACAGTGGCCAACCGGCTCCTCTGGAAGGCCAACAGCAGGGCAAAGAGCTCCTGGCAATTCCTAGAGCTACCCTTCGCACTTCCTGGTAGTGCTAGGAATTGGCAGGAACTCTATGGTCAGAACTTCCTGTAACTAGATGCCCGCCCCCTCCTCGGCCCCAGTTTCCTCCCACCGAACAGGTAAGCAATGTCAGGCAAGGGTCGCAATTACCTGGAGGCTGACCACCATAAGCATGCAAATGGGAACCCTACAGGCGCCAGAGAATACATTCATTTTCTGAAGTGTCCCTACGTCAATATCAAGAGACACACGACTCCATTTTCCTGCTTTTCCAAACATCCAGTTTTACAAAATGGGTCTTAAGTCTGTCTCTAAAGTTAAAATATACACACATTCTGCGATCGGTGTACACACACACACACACACACACACACACAGAGGCCACAATAACAAGCAGGACACTTCCTATGCTTTTACACTTGAAGAATTACATTCATCGCTTGCGTTTGCCCTGTGGCACAAATATTGTAAAAGTGGGACACGGCCAGTGTTCCCTCTAAGCTGAGTTGGTGTGAGCTAGCTCACAGTTTTTTAGCCTCTGGCTCACACATCTTTGTCTTAGCTCAGGAAGGAGGGCTCCAGAGCCAACTAATTTATGCAGTCGCCGAATCGCTCACAGCTTTCATGCCAGGAGCTCACAAGGCTCCACGGCTTAGAGGGAGCATTGGACATGGTGGCTCCTCCGGTGCCCCAAAGCGGATGCCGGCTCACGGCAACCGACACACAAGATGGACAACGCAAGTCACAAGCCTGAGCTGCAGCGGTTAATTCCTATATATTTTTGGTTTATTTCTTTTAAACCCAGTGATTTGTAATCAGAGATCAGCAATGAGCATGTGAGGTACTATCGGGGGAGTTCCCCTAAGGTCCCCTCCCCCTACCTAGAAGATTATATATATTTACAGGCTGCATAGGACAAATACATGGTGTTGGACCACGGGTCCGTTTGGTCTGGCCCCCAGCCTACAACAGTTACCCGCGGAAGAGAGGCATTTGGTGGCTTGCAGCCGGCAGCTGCTGCGTTGCCTCTGAACACGGGCTGGGGCCGTTTCGTTAATAGCCACTGACAAGCTGACCACCCCCTAAAGTTACCGAATCCCTTTTAAAGGCTCCTACGGCTCAGCCCACCAACGCATCCCGCAGCAATGCTGCTTGCTGCAGCGCGCGTTCCGTAAAGCACGGCTTTCGTCAGTCCGCCTGGTCCGACTGCATTGGAAGAGCACCCCAGGAGAACCCTTCGCTGCTATGACGTAGATGCACAAGCAACGCTGGCTACTTTCGACTCCGCTATTCGTTCAGTGGCTCGAAAGTTTCTAAGTAAGGGGCCGGCAGGGCTCTATTCGTCGGGAGCGGAGTTCGCGCTTTGCTATCTTAAGGCTTCCGGTAACGGACCCCGCCACTCTCGTTCCCGTCGGGTGGCCTGCTCTTAGAAAAAGCTTTTCGGCAGCAAGGGCTGCGTTACCTGCAGAGGTTGGCTCTCGGAGGCCTGGTTGCTCTTGGAGAGCTGCACCATCTCCTTGATTTGGTAGATGGCGTAAGCGAGAGTCACCCACGGAGAAGAACTGACTCCCCAGGCGGGCTTGTTCACGTCCTCCTGCTCCTCCTGGTGCTTGGTCTTCTTGGGGGGGACCCGGGGCTCTGGCCGAGGCAGGATGTCTTCGGTCTGTTGCTGGACCAGGTCGATCGTGGCGATGGGCACCGGGCTGGAAGGCACCGGGATCCTTTCGGCCAGCATGGTCTTTTCTGGAATGGGGAAAACAACAAGGAAAAGATCAGCCGTGACCCAAAAGAATTAAGTGGGACGGCCAAGCACCATCAATTTTTTAGAATCCTGCTCCTAGAGAGGTTCTGGAGAACTGGCTGGCCACTGTGTGAGACAGGATGCTGGACTAGACTGACTATCTCTGATCCAGCAGGGCCGGGTCTTAGGTTATGTTCTCATTCAGGCAAAATTCTTCTCCTCTAAAGATCAGCTACAGTCAGGCGTCACTCCAAACCTCAACTGAACTCCAGTGTGAACGTGGTTTGTGGGTGTGTCCCTTACACTCCCCACTTGGGACTGAAAAATTAACTCCAGTGCCGGCACCTGAGGGGACTGTTCTTTCCCTGCCCTGCCCCCACATGGCAAACATCCTCTGGATCCAACCCGCAGTCATGGTGCCACCTCCCTGTCCCGAGTAAGCCAGCTGACAAAACATCCAACAACTAAGGAACACAGAGCGTGCCCTCAGAGGAGATTAACTGAGTTGACGGCCAGTTGGCAGGGAGAAGGCGACCCTGAAGTCTGGAACGGCTAGGATTTTAAAGGTCAAACCCAACCGTGTTGCTCCGCAAATGAGTGAGATCGACAACTGGCCACTCACCCACGTTCTGTGGGGCAGCCCCTGCCTTGTGGAAGGCGCCCCCCCCACGCTGCGATAATTCCACAGAATATGCAAATCAGAAATGTTTAGAAAGGCCTTTTGTGCCACCTGACTAAATGTGTGTGTGTGTGTGTGTAAACGGCTGTGAAGTCTAGGCCAACTTACGGCGACCCCGTAGGGTTTTCAAGGCAAGAGGCAAAGCAGAGGTGGTTCGCCATTGCCCACCTCTGCATAGCAAACCGGGGCTTCCTTGGCGGTCTCCCATCCAAGTACTAACCAAGGCCGACCCTACTTAGCTTCCGGGCTCTGATGAGATCGGGCTTGCCTAGGCTATCCAAGTCAGGGAAAACTGGTGGTGGAAAGTGCCGTCAGGTCACCGCGACCCCGTAGGACAGGAACCGATGGCACACGTGCCAGAGGTGGCACTCAGAGCCCTCTCTGTGGGCACGCGTGCCATCGCCCCAGCCAGGCCCAGACCGTCATTAAAGTGTCGAATTCTCTGCCAAATAATTTTAAGTAAACGAAAGCATTTGGGATTGCTTTCCTTACTTTGTTTGGATCATCTTATGTTAATGTACGAGTTGTTTTTTCTAAACTACAACCTCAGTATTCAGGTTAAATTGCCATGTTGGCACTTTGCGACAAATAAGTGGGTTTTGGGTCGTGGTTTGGGCACTCGGTCTCTAAAAGGTTCGCCATCACTGCCGTAGGGTTTCCAATGCAAGAGACACTCAAAGGTGGTTTCCCATTGCCTGCCTCCACACTGCAACCCACTCCTTCCTTGGTGGTCTCCCGTCCAAATAGTAATCGGGGCTCATCCTGCAAAGCTTCTGAGATCTGAGGAGATGAGGCTAGACTGGCCTATCCATAGGTAAATAAGTAAATTAACCTCTTACTAATTTTTCTCATTGCAGCAAAGACGTTAATTGCACAAAACTGGAAATCGAAAAAAAAATTCCAAGTGTAAATCAATGGTACATGAAGGTTTGGGACTTATGTGATAAGATTGGACTACCCTGGGCCGTCCAGGTCAGGGTATATAAGCACACACACGCACACAAACATTTCACCTTTGAGTCTTAGGTAGGCAATAAATTAGGTAAATAAGTAAATTAACCTCTTACTCATTTTTCTCATTGCAGCAAAAACGTTAATCGCACAAAACTGGAAATCGAAAAAAAAATCCCAAGTGTAAGTCAATGGTACGTGAAGGTTTGGGACGTGGCAGTCACAGACAAATTAGTATCTCAGATAGTAGAGGCTGATCGAAATAAGACTTCGACTGAATTTTTGAAAAGATGGCTTTCTTTCTTTTAATTACTAATTCTACGAACAAGATGTGTTTAGTACCCAAGAAATATCTTAATTTTGTATTTTAAGGTAAAGGTAAAGGTTCCCTTGCTCGAAAGCCAGTCGAATCCGACTCTAGGGTTGCGGTGCTCATCTCCGTTTCAAAGCCAAAGAGCCAGCGCTGTCCGAAGACGTTTCCGTGGTCATGTGGCCGGCATGACTAAACACCAAGGCTCACGGAACGCTGTTCCCTTCCCACCGAAGTGGTACCTATTTATCTACTTGCAATTTCTTGCTTTCAAACTGCTAGGTTGGCAGGAGCTGGAACTAGAGATGGGAGCTCGCTCCATCATGCGGCACACTCGGGTCTCGAACTGCTGAACTACCGACCTTCCACAGCCTGCAGTTCAGCATCTTAACCACTTGAGCCAAGTGTTCAATAATGTTTATACTTAAAACTATAAAGTGTAAAGGGTGTTGTGATAACAAAATCCTTTTTGTTAGCTTAAAAAGTGGATGGTTTAGATTTCTGTATACTTGTTGCTTTAAAAAATAAAAAAAGTAAGTTAAAAAAAATAGGTAAATTAACAGCCTGACGCCGACGACGGATCCAGAGCAGCTTCACAAAGGGGCCAGCGGGAGTCCAGTCTGAAGGTGGCCAGGGTGGGAGTAACCGCGGCCGTTTACCTTCTTGCTCGTCGGGAACCGCCAGCCACTGGATCAAAGCGAAAAGTAAGAGGATCACAAGACAGGCCATTCCGATCCCTCTGAATGTGGAAGCCGCCCCTGAGGAGAGAAATCGACTTAGCATCCGGTCTTTACTCTGCTGACAAGAGAAGGCGGTCTGACTGGAACAACCAAGGACGACGAAGCGGCTGGGGGAAACTTGGCGACGGGGAAGCGGGCTCCCCGGGCAAAGCGTGGAGATGAAGTGCGGGCCCCAAACGGACCAGGCGGTTTCCATCCCCGGCCCGTGAAAGAGAGGGGCTGCGTTTCCTGAAGGAAAACCACCGGGACCGTGTCAGGAGCCGCTTCGCGCCAAGAGTCTACAAAATGGGGAGCTGAAGATCAAGCTCTGGCAGAAAAAGGCAGCATTTTGGAAGCGGCCAAATGGTCATAATGTGAACAAATCCAGTCTCCTTCCTCTGGACGGTTTCCAGAGATAACCAGGCCTTTTTTTTAAAAAAAAAAGGGGAAAAAGAGGTGCCGTAACTCTCAAGAGGGAAGTGCACACAAAAGCTCATGCCATGAAGAAACCTTTGTTGGTCTCAAAGGTGCCGCTGGAGTCCAGTGTTCCCTCTAAGCCGAGTGAGTGCGAGCCAGCTCACAATTTTTTAGCCTGCAGCTCACACGTTTTTGTCTTCGCTCCCTGGAAAGGAATTAACTATAGGCTTGATAGCGCCAAGAGTCTACAAAACGGGGAGCTGAAGATCAAACTCCGGCAGAAAAGGGCGGCATTTCGGAAGCGGCCAAACAGTCATAATGTGAACAAATCCGGTCTCCTTTCTCTGGACGGTTTCCAGAGATAACCAGGCCTTTTTTTAAAAAAAAGGAAAAAAGAGGTTCTGGAAGTCTCAAGAGGGAAATGAAGTTTTCCATCTGCATACTGAAAACTCATGAACTTTCTCCATTCCTCCACTCGCAGCTGCTGGATGACCTTGGGCAAGCCATCGTTCTGTCAGAGCTGTTCTTGAAAAAGAGCAGTTTCTGTCAAGAGCTCTCTCAGCCCCACCTACCTCACAGGGTGTCTGTTGTGGGGAGGGGAAGGGAAAGGAGTCTGTAAGCCGCTCTGAGACTCCGAGTGAAGGGTGGGGTATAAATCCAACCTCTTCTTCTTCTCTTCTTCATTCTGGCACCTTCCCCCAGAAAAAAAAGCCCTGGAGGAAACCATCGGTAGCCGTGCCCCATGTCTCAACTTCTGCTCATTGGAATACGTTGGACCGTGTGAGGGACACTTCAGAAATAAGTAAAAGAATATTTATTTAATCGATTTAGAGATTTGTTCCCCCACTCTTCTCCCCAGCGGGGATCCAGAGTGGCCCACGACACCATTCTCCTCCCCCCACCTCCGTTTTATCCTCAAAACAACCCTGTGAGGGAGGTGGGGTTGAGAGAAAGAGAGAGAGACTGTGGCTGGCCCGAGGATCACCCAGCAAGCTTCCAGGGAGGGGTGGGGACTCGAACTGGGGACTCCCAGAGGCTATCCTGCCACACCGTGCCGCGCTGGAAGAAAGACTAAAATGTGTTCCTGTTGCTCTCTGACGCCAGGCAGAGAATTTCTCTCATCAAAGTGCAACACCCAGCTCTGTCCTTCCCCAAAGGAAACAGGACGTGGTTTTTTAAGGCCAGGATCTCGTGTTCTGCAAATGTAGCTTCGCCTGTTCCAGTATTGCCGTTTCGGCTTTACTGTGGACTGTTCGG